CACACACACACACACACACACACACACACACACACACACACACACACACACCAACCCCTTTCGAAAGGCTCACATCTTTAGATCCAACTCTCTAACGTACATTTCGAAGTGCCTTAATTATCACTGAAACATTCCAGCAGGAAGACCGAGATACTCAATACAAATTGATGTTAATATACTTCCTCATTTTGGGAATCAAATAGCTTCTTGTTTTGGATAAGGATGATAATATAGGTTTGATAGGAAAGAAGGAGGAAAGATAAGGATGATAATATAGGTTTGATAGGAAAGAAGGAGGAGAGATAAGGATGATAATATAGGTTTGATAGGAAAGAAGGAGGAGAGATAAGGGCGATATAGAGATAAGGACGACAGATGTTTGATAGGAAAAAAGGAGGAGAGATAAGGACGATACAAAATGTTTGATAGGACAGAAGGAGGTGCGATAAGGACGACGTAATAACAAATTATGTTTGATAGGAAAGAAGGAGCAAACCACACCAGAGCACCCCCCAACCATCGACAAATGTCACAGTGCTCCGCATAGCTCGTGACACTGCCAACTCGCTACCTCAGAATTACATAATTCTATCTGTTCACACCTAGTCTTGAGAAATTGGACATCAAAGATTATATGAGTTTAACAGCAGGTCAAACGTTTTCGAATGCAATTCTGGGCATATCTTGATAACGACTCTGAATAATCTTACAATTTTGATAAAGCAGAGAGAACAATAAAATTAAATGTTCTATCTACTTTATTAAAATTTTATTGGTTTTTGACTCCATGGTCTTAGTACCCCAGAAAGGCCAAAATGTCTTTGTAGTTCTAAGGTAGCGAAATGTCACACAGCTACAGCACGGCAAGCGACACTGCCAATTGTGTAGTAATGGACATTGTTGTTTTTATGGCACAAACAAGTCGGGCGTGTAGAATCTGGCGGGAGAAAGTGGTGGAGATTGTAAGTCCCGTGAAATAGTTATGGTCAACCGAGATAGAATACGTGCTGTATGCCGGCTTTCGGTCCGTGTAAGGGTGGTATAGCTGTTTGTTAGTTGGTGTTTGTGTGTGTGTGTTTGTGTGTGCGTGTATATATATATTTAAATAG